TCATGAGGAAGGATCGACTCGTTTACGCGCAACGCCTAAAGGGCTCCCAGCACTCGAGGTTCTCCCAGCACTCGAGTGTGCATTATTTTTGTGTAATGAATGAGCAAATGTTTTCGTGATGACGATGTGATGATGTGATAATGATCCGCGAATGCTGTTTGCGTGGAAGTCAGGTCAATGTGAAGATCAGACAGGTCAAGCAGGCCAAGGCTATGTTTGGCAATTTTTCTGAATTTTCTAGCTCCCTAAGTTACGTGGCCCATTGTGGCCCACAATGACCTGCTCAGCAGTCGTAAGTGCCCTGTTATCGGTTCATTCAAGCCTTCTCAGTTCCGGATCACACGCACGACGCCTCATAGTCGGCGTATGTATTTGAACTTCACAACAGAATTCAGCATAATTGCGCCAAGGTACAATGGTGGCGCACAAGGTACAATGGCGACGTGGGGAGCTGGCCTCTAAACTGAGGGTGCTTTGCATTTAACATGAGACATCATATGACAATTAGTTTTGAAAATATGCTGGTGCTGGCTTAGAGACTAATTTGTCACGGCCCGAAAGGGCCAATAATTTGGCTTAGTCACTTATAAGTTGATCTGACATGGCTGTTGCTGCCGCCCGGATCCGACTCACGGTATTCGCTGGCCCAATTCAAACAAGTAAAGTAGTTTGTTACAGCGGTCCAAGACGAGAGAGGGAACTTCAAACCGCCGGGTTAAGAAAACCACACCAACACGTTGCACCAAAAGCTCTGGTTCTTGGAAGGCAGCTGTTTGCTTCCCATTGACTCAACTTCTTTAGATACGGAACAGTGTGACAACTTTGTCAAGAATGACAACAGTTGACCTCGTTCCCATACATGAAAATGCCTCCAGGACGTATGCCAAAAATCTGCACCAGGTGAAAGTGTGCTTGTAGGTATCGTTCCCTAGTTGCGCCACTAATGGAAATTTCGACATTTTTTTATATTTGCAGCATCAAATAATGCACAAAATTGTTTTATATGGCTGAAGTAACGACATGAGTTGGCGGAGTGTTGCACATGTAATGATCTCACGGTGCTGAATTTGGAGTTCACATTTAGAATAGCACTGCACCCACGTTACAGCCGGAACACCAGTAAACGAAAAAAATTATCTGCACTCTACCATGCATGATGGTCAATTTCTCAAAATAATTGGGGGGCTAGATTCATGAATGTCGTCGAAAAGTTACAAGTACGGAAAACTTCTTGGATTTCGTCCGTTTATGTTCTGGTTGTTTACTTACATAATACATATATATATATATATATATATATATATATATATATATATATGATAAATTAATATATATATATATATATATACATATATATATATATATATATATATATATATATATATATATACATATAAAGATAGACATATAAACATCACATTTTCCATGCGTTTTTTTAAAGTTCCATGTGCATATCCATAGCAATCACATATGAATGGTTGGCAGTTCGCATCAAACTCTAATACATACGCAGAGCTTTTGTGAAGTAGAGGGTGTGCAGCTGTGCACACTCTTTTGCCCGCTGAAATGAGAAATTGACGTATGATTCACCATCATGCACTTGAAAACTGGAGAGAAAAAATGTTCAAGAGCGGGGTGTTCACAATATATGCAGCTATCCCAACCCGTTTAGACATACGTTCTCAACACGCAAACATTTTGTCAACAGAGCAAATGCATCTCAGTAACGTAAAAGAAAACATAAGTCCTCCTCCACGCAGCCTTAAACAAAGTTGTCCTCACACTTTCCCCAAAAACGCCTAGGCAGATGCCCTCCTCTTGAGACAGATTTTCCCCGTTCGTTTCAAAGAATACGCGTTAAGAGCCCGCGTTACATCTGTGGGACACCGTTCTAAGCTGTTGTGCCTTTGAACGAAAAGCAGCCATAACCCGTTCCACTTCTTACGTGTGCCAAACGAAACGCCCATGTCATTGTCATGCGCAACACGGGTTGATTGTAACAGCGTTGCTAGTTGAGCTGACTCCTCAGTAGTCATGCGATTATACTTATGCCCACATACCCGGCGCTGAATGAGCTCACCGACGCCCAGCCAGCCTTAATACCCCTGGTTGGCATTGGCAATGATCGTACTTTTGACGGTTCGCTATCACTCTGGCCGAAAACGCGCTTCAAACACCGCACCCACATGCGGTCCTCGCTACGCCTACAGCAGCGATGCGGATGAGCACGTTCGGCTGCATTGATAGGTGCTCTGTTTCTCGCATGAGGCTCTTTGGCGTTCGATAACGACGACATATATTGACACGCATATTGCAATTACGCACGCATATTCAAAGGCCGGCTTAAAAGTTATAGATGTGAAAAACTCGCTCCAGCATAACCTTTCAACAACGCGAACTAATTTTGAAGGACTTTCGGAAGCATTATTCTCCGACGGTCGTTCACAATCGGCGCTCCATACCTGGTGTTGACCACAGTGGCCAACACCGTTCAGTTTTACGGAGAATACAGCGCTGGGCATGGTTGCTCCTGCTCCCAGCATTACGGAGAATACAGCGCTGGGTATGGCTGCTCCTGCTCCCAGTTTTACGGAGAATGCAGCGCTGGGCATGGCTGCTCCTGCTCCCTGTTTTACGGAGAATACAGCGTTGGGCATGGCTGCTCCTGCTCCCAGTTTTACGGAGAATACAGCGCTGGGCATGGCTGCTCCTGCTCCCAGTTTTACGGAGAATACAGCGCTGGGCATGGCTGCTCCTGCTCCTACGATTGTGAGCGCGCAGACACACAACTTTTATGTGAGTTGTTTCACAAGTCGATGCTGCAAAAGGATCAACGCTCTTGCGTGAACATCAGCTGGTCTTTTTCGCTTTTTATCTGATTTTCATTCGCTCTGTTGAGCACTAATGAAAGACCTTACCGGGCAAGGTGTTTTGCAGGTAAAACACTAGGGACGCATTAGCGTTCCCAATCATGGACTGAAGGGCCATTCCGTTCCCCCTCGGGGTGCCTACCGGCTGCCATTTTGGCGATACGGGAGCGGGGTCCCCTGGTTGATTCGGAGGCCTTAAGAGGACTGTTTCATACATTGGTCCCCTTCTCGACGCGGGAGGCCCTTTGACCCAGTAAGTTGGCCCCAGGTCGTTGCAGGAGCCCTCATTGACACAACATGATCTCTTGTCACCGCAGGTGGTTCAACAACTTAGCTTTGACTTTTTCATTCACTCTTTCATTCTCTGATCAGGCGTTGCAGCAGAATAACGTAACTCATTGCAGTCTGTAGAAGCTGAAGTATTACTGAATACTGGCAAAACACCGAGGCAATGCCAAAAAACTAGACCAGAGCCAATAATGCTTATGCATCGTGTAATAAAAATACATGCAGCATGCAACAAAGAGAGAAAATACAGAAGTAAACACGGTACAAACGCAAAGTTCTAAAAGTGTGACTAGCTTAGCTGCACTTACCCTTACATGACACCGCAGTTTGCATTTCGTTTGTTCTTTTGACCTTTTAAATGTCTGTTAACAGCCTTCATTAAACTTGATGTGATTTTAAGGTTCTGTATTTAATGCTCTGCTTGTACCGAGGCCATGAAAGGTTGGAGGTGTGTGCAGTCACCATTAGGGGAGGACGAGGTAACTTGGAAAGGGGGGGGGGGGGGGGGGGGGGCGGGGGCGGCAGTGGTCCAACCAAAACGATGGAATTCGATACCCGTGATTGCAAGTCGCATGTATCTCGATAGAAGGTCCCGGCATAACATGCACGAACTGATTTGCCTTCAATGCTTCTACAAGACTACTTTTGCTCAGGGCTCACTTTGTGCCGTTGCCGAACAGCCTTCCGGAACTGACGTCAGTCGTTGATTGGGGTAGAGTGGGGGTATCGGGAAAACGCTACTCAACCTTAACTTTCTTTCTGTGACTAAATGACTGGTCTGGTCGTGCCATTCTGCCCCAACATTATTCATTGCAAACTGGAGTTGGTGCCCCCCACCTCCCCCACAGAAAAGGAGAGAATCAATAGTTCGGTTGTGTTTTCCTGTTCCGGGTTTGTTATTTCCCAATCCTGGGTGCTGGACCAAGTTCAGAAAACTGTGAAAAAATGTCGATTTTTTCGGTAAAAACAACCCAAAACCTAGCATCATAATAATTCAGTGCAAATTGGACATTAACAAATTGTTGATGTATTGTTATGATGCGCATGCAAGTTTGATAACTTCAAAGATGATGAAAATCTGGGGATCCACCTGGAACACACGTGAAGGCTTTCAGAAAATCAGGGAGATGCTCATGCCGTTAATTCCAGGTGGACCCGGATCAAAAGTTGACATATATGACCAGAAATTACAATTATCATAACGGTGGGCTATGAAGCTTATGCGATTTCGACAGAAATTCCGACCGGCAAATAGCTGCAGGCTTAGGCTAAAACCGTTCAAATTTCATCTCTCTCCTTAAAATATGCCATATCGAAAGTCCCGGGACGCAACGAAGCCAGCTCTCATCCGCTTTCAATGCCCGACTTACCGCAGGCGGGGGCGCGAGCGCGGGCGCGGACAGGAGCGGGGGCGGGGGGGCGGGGCGGGGGCGGGTGGGTGGGGGTCGGTCGTGCCGCGCCGGCGGCGCCGTGCAGCCGCCTCCGGCGCCAGTGGTTTGCCGCCCGCAGCGGTCGGCGGCGGCCGTCGTCGGCGGCGCCCCACCTGTCGGCGGCGGGCGCAGGTCAGCCGGCCGCCGCTCGGGCCGCCCCCGCCGGCCATGCCCGCGCCGCGCCGGCCACGGCGGCCAGCGGTCGACGCGCGGCGGGCCGCCGGCCGTCGGACAGTCGACTCGCCGCCGCCCGGCCGGCCAGACGCGCCGGCCCGCTGCCGCCGCCGCCGCCGCCGCCGCCGCCGCCGCTGACGCTGCTGCCCGCCGGCCGGTGATGGCGACAGCTGACTGACCCTAGGTCACGGCTCAGCTGGGCCGCGCAGTGTGCCGCGCCCACACGGTGCGCCACGGAACGCTTGAGGGGCCGACAAGATGAGGGTGAAAATGCCTCCTTCCATGCGGATTCTGCAGGATAGCCAGGCGGACCAGGGTGAGTACAGAGTGAGCTGATGTGTTTTGCGCACGGGGTGGGGTTTGCTTACAACTCAAAGGTAATCCTGCGTGACCGATGATACGTGGTTCTAATACTTACTCACGATAAATCCCGCTCCCGCGCGAAGCGCCGATGAAGAGCGACGATGACATACAACACAGAGTGCCGCGCATTCCGAACTTGAATTATTAGACTGCGTTTGAGTTAGCTTGCTATCTGGAAGCATTTGTGAGCTTTTGTCGGTACTTATATGTTGTGAATGACCCGTTTTTATTCGAAATCATTGTGGACGCTTGTAATTTTGACGGGCCGCCTTTCCGCGTAGTGTTATATTTAATAGTTCAAAAGCAGCCGTTCCCCTTTTTGTTTTTACGTTCCTTACAGAAATTTGATATTTTTGTTTTTCATAGATATGCACAATTTCTGAAACGATATTTTTGTAGTTGAATTGCTGCGGTTGAACAACTAGCTCCAATTTAAGAAGCATTTGCACTTTACAGACCATTCCTGGTCCATTGTCGCTCGCTTTTGTTGGTTAGGTTAGCGTTCACGTTCGTTCAAAGATGTTTAATTTTTGCTCAGAATTTTCAAACTTTTGCGCAGTTCTAAAGCTAACAGGATACCAGCGGCCATTTTCGCGTCAACCCTTCAGAGCCTGATAGTTTTCGTAATAATTATTTGTCTGCGACCCAGATATTCTTGCATTCCTCATAGCCCGCTGTTATTTCGCAGACTTGATTGTGAATGCAAACGCAAATGAATACCATCGCTCAGTTTCGGGGTTCAGATAACCAACAGGACAGCACACGAGTGCCTCTCTTGAGGCAGGCTTGATCTTGACTTTTAAGCAAGTTACATGGTGCGTGGCCGATTTAGCTGTGGGTTACAGAAAGTTTGCGAAATCCTTACTTCAAAAATAGCACAGTGGGTTGACCACGCAAGATAAGAAATAGCACGCACTCGTGCTTTGCCAGACACGGGACTAGGTGGCATCAGACGGCCAGTGTGGTCGGGGCTGGGAAGGGCCGTGGAGTTTTACTACGACTTTGTTATGAAAGCTGTGACATTAACGACAAAACTTGAGCGCTGTTGGGGAAACCTGAAGCCTTCAATGCTGCATTCTTTTTATTATTCACAAACCGATGGAATGTAAGGTTTGGACATCTTGGTGTGACTATGAATAACACATCCCAAGCACGCAGAAGACGCCCTTTTTAAAAACCACGCACAACTTTCAAAATGGAACACTTAGTGTATGTGAGGTTGAAGAGTATACGATGTGCTAGGAAAGCTATGCTTGAAATTCTGATAGCGCACTTGAGCCTGCGAATCATTGCTGCCTGGGCGTGAATGGCAGGGAAGCCGGTCAGCCGGACTGCCGGAACGCGGACCAATCAAATGTTTCCACCAGAGGAGCTTCCGCCATGACACGCAGCGATGCTGATGGCAAAGGCTACGGCCGTCTGACAATTAGCTACGTTACGCCTAGTTTAGATGACCCACGCACGGGTGGAGGGGGTGGCGCTCCTGGGGGTCAGATACTTTGTAACGCGTTGTTTTATTAGCAATTTGGTAGCCTGTGAGTAACTGGCGGTGTCACAAGCGTCATACCTTTTCTAAGACATTACCCAAGTTAAGGCCTTCCCGCCAGATGCACTCGCATGTTATTATGCTGTTGATGGAACATTTTTAGTAGAACGTACACCATGCGTTAGCAGTAGACATGGATCTAGAAGGAAAAAAATAAGTGCAATACGTCGAACATAGCTCTTATACTCAATTTGGCTATGTCTTAACGCAATGCTGGATTATTTGTAGCAATTGTTTTAAAGCAAAATACTTGAGACAAAAAAGAACAAACGGCAATAAAGTTGTCTAATGCATAGTGAAGTAAACAGGATGACAATTCGTGCAATATATCAAAAGTGCAAATATGAGCATAACTGCAAGATCAAACGCTTTAACGTAACTCGCTTCTGCAAGCGTTAGGGGTGCCCCGTATTTCGCTTTGTTGGAACGCATAATTTGCAAGCACCAGTTGACAATCGCAGTCGCCCGGTGCCCGGTATCATGTCTGTTCCCATGTCTGCTGGAAAACATGCTTAGATTCGGCAAAGGCTGGTGATCTCAGAAGTTGGGCGAAACACAGCTGACATGACAAACTGCATAGTTAAACTCTCATGAACTTTATAGTTTGGAGCGCTGTCAGCCTGTTTTAGCAGTTTTTCTTTATGTAGGTGTGTACCGCGCCGCGCTACGCCGGCGATGTATCTCCAACCGCCTGCGAGATTCTCCTGCGTTTCCATTCCACGATCTGGCGTCCCCGCCACTCAGGGGAGAGACCTCACCTCGTCCACTCGGCCGTCGCTCAGCGCCGCAGTGCTGGCGTCGCCGCGGCCTTGTCGGCGTCCGCTGCGTGACAGTTCGCTCCACATTCGCCGCGCGCACTCGCGCGCTCTCGGTCCGGGCACGAGGGGTCGAGCGGTTAGCTTCAGCCGTCGCGCCGACGGGCCGTCGGCGCGGCGCGGAGTCGAATTCCACCTGTCGGCCCCTCTCGGCCGCGTGACCCCGCTGACCCCGACTGACCCCGCCGGTCATCCCGCTCCGATCTAGTTACAGGCGGGCGGCAGCTGGCCGCGCGCCGTGCGGGTCCAAGGCTGCGGGGGAGAGTGGGGAGCGGCCGTTTATCGCCCCCCGCCGAGAGCGGGTCCTTCGCCGGTCAGGGGTGCGGGCGAGGGGGGGGGGGGGGGCGCGGGGTACCGGGGCACGTGCGCTCCGGACACTTGGCAAACGCTGCCCCGCTTCCTGCCCGGCACTGAGCGTGTTTTCGGCGCGGAAGGAGCGCGCGCGGCGATTCTGGTGCGCCTTTTGTGCGCGGCCGGCCGGTGCGCCAGAAATAGGCCGCCGATTCAGAGCAGTACATGCCCGATCTAGATAAACACGCGACATCAAAGGTGGCATTCAGCGCTGGCTGGCCAGATATGGTCAGTGCGCAGGCATTGTCGACTTGTTTTGCATATTTTGATGGCTGTTTTGTCGGCGGTCGCCCTATGAAAACCGGCTGGCCAAGGGTCGCCAGCCATCCCCGCTGCGCGCCTTTCAATCATCTCCAATTTACATGTGAACGCGCCTTGGCGGCCCCCGCTCGTTTCGTATTCATTGCCTGTTTAACGGCGCGACCGGTGACAAAAATCGCCCTGCAATGTCCGTGGCGCCCAAGGGCCGGCGCTGCTTGTGCGTGCCCCGTGCCGACTAAGGCGAGGGTGCTGTCACCCCGTGCCCTGCCGCTGGGTCTGACGGCCGGCGCCCTCGCTCGCTCACCCGCTCCTTTTCGTGCAGCGCCCACCGCGGGTCCGGCCTCCCCGCTCTCTCCCCTGCCTCCCCGCCCGCCTCCCCGCGTCCCCGGCCGCTCGCGCTCCGCTGCGGTGAGCCACAGCGGCGGAGGGCCTCACCCGCTGGATCTGCCGATCGGCCCGGGCACACGCAGATACTCCCGAAATTATTGTTTGCGGCTGGCGGTCTGTTGCAGGCGACCATAACCTTGATCGCAAATTAGCCCCGCCGGAGCGCGTGGCGGAAAACAGCGTCATCTGGCGGCGGCGAGTCTGGACCGTGACCTGCCGGTAATGCCCCGCAGGCGTGCGTCAATGAGACGCAACAGCAGGAGCCCCACGCAGCTCTCCGCGACACTGCTCCCGGTTAAATCTCAACGTCATGCCGACTGTCGTCTCTGAATTTATGCCTGCTTGAGAGGAAGAAACGTGTGATGTCTCGCTCCACACCTCTTCACCGCGCGGCTCCCGGTGCCTGGACGCGCAGGCACCCGACCACGGACGGCGGCGGCTGCAGGCCCTCCAACCAATACCGCACGGTAGCGGTGACGCGCTCCGACAGCGCTGCAGCACCTGGCGCCCCGCAGAGCCGGTGCCGGCTGCAGCCTCACGAGTGGAGAGGAGCGATCTGAAAGCAGCTCCATTGTAAGGGGCGATGATGCATCGCAACTAATTACAAATACACGGGTATTCATTGGATGTGATGTCAATATCGCATGAAACAATCTGGCCCGTTTGGTTGAGAGATGACCACAATCCTTCACCGGACTACCAAGTCATCGCCGAGAGAGAGGGGGGGGGGGGGGGAGCTCACGACAGTCATCCCTGGGAGGGGGCCGCCGTCGGGCACCGGTGTCAGCTGCAGCTCAATAGCCCGCCCGTACCTGTGGATTTAACCCCTTCAAACAGGGCCATTAGCTCTAAACACGGCCTGCCCCCGGGAAGGGGCCTATTTATTTTGTGTGTGAGCCGAGCCATTACATTCAATTATCGCCATTAGCCTCCCCCGCGCTGGCCGATAGGGGGCGGGGCCGTCCGTGTCCGGCGCGCGGCCCGCTGCTTTGTCGGGCCGTTTTTGCCTCGGGGGACGCCGCCGGGCGGCCATCTGGTCAAGCCGTCGGACGCGCCGCGCCGCCGCGCCGAGGTGTGGCCGGGCGCGCGGCGCTCGCCAGAAGCGGCGGCGCCGCCTGTCAACAGAGTCACGACGGCTGCCTATCGCGTCCCATCTACAAGCGGACGTCTTAATTAGGCGACGTGTCAACCTTTCCGGTGTTCTTGGTCCTGTTGGTGTTTCTGAGGCAGACGCGGCGCGCAGGCGTTTGTTTCGCCTTCGGAAGTGGAGTGACGCAGAGCGCCTTGGAGGCTGGCGGCAGGGAGCACGACTGGAACCTCGAGGAACGCAGACCGTGAAAGGCACGTTCTGGAACGGCGTGTAGCCTGCAGGGGGCGCAGCGGCGTCTCGGTCATTTTTCTTGTTCTGTTTTGGACCGTCACCTTCTCGACGAGCCGTCGAGAAGGCGACGAGACAAAAAGCCGCCTCGTGACGGGTCGAGCGTTCGTCGTCTTTGAGTCCCCACCCTGCCATGCTGCGTTGTTGGGCGCCAGGCCAGTCAGCCTGCTTGCAGAGACTCTAGTTGGACTGGCTGGCTGGCTGGCTGGGCCTGG